TATGGAATACCAATCCCTTTTGGTGTCATGAGCTTTACTGATGGTCTTATTTCCACCTGTGAGATCTCTGCCAATCATGCGTAATCTTTTTGTATGATCTTGCAACTTCAACATTGGTGCGATGTGTATGCCAATAAAAGTTCTTATAGGGAAACTCAAGAGCACAGAAGTGCGTTTTCTTTATAGGAGGGCCAAGAATCCTCGTTGTCCCACAGGTTGAAAAGTTTCCTGGTACATTGCTAAATGAGTCGTGTGATTTCTTAAGTATCTTTCAAATGAAGCAATTGATATACCTACGGTGATATTTCTTTTTTAATTCACGGCTTTTCCAATTCGTGGTAAAATTTATGAACTGATTTCTGGGTAGAAGCCAGACCGCATGATCGTGCATGAGGGCGTCAGAAAAACTTAACCCCATCCTTCATTTAGACATCTGAAAACTAAGTTCGTATAACTTAAACATAGTGCCAAAGCAGACCAACCACACGGGGTTTCTATACATTTCGCCCTCAGCGCCATCCACTGGGTTCATTTTCTGCAAAACCATTGCTTACCATAAAATGAATACGTGTTATGAATCCCAACCTTAGGTCCAGCGGCACTAATCGGGTAAATTTGTATCAAAAGACTTTCCATCATACAGGTACATAGCTCACATTTAAAATTTGAAATCGGTTAATAAATACGATTTTTATAAATAACTCTACTCCAGCACCACATAGCGAGTTTTATAGTAGCATGTAATTGGACCATATATGTATGTAAGATAACCTCCGACAATCTGACGGAACTCTATTCAGTGTTTTTTGAGTTTATTCCGAACAACGAAAACGGCTATCATTTTATGCAAATAGGTATAGAGATACGACAGATTATAGCGAAACTCGTAAAAGCAAAACTTTGTGAAAAATTAAAAAAATTCTTCAAAATTTTCACATAAATTTTACCTTACTGAAAATTAAAGACAAAGTTACAATAGTTCAATGAGATTAAGAAATCTAGGAGAAAATGGTTCCCAATCGAATGATACTTGTGCGTTTACGTAAATGTATATCGATCCAGCCTTTCCAATAATTACCACTTTTCGCCATAACTACGGTATTGATAACATATGTAGCTGTGTAGAATTTCAGGACGTTAGCGTAAGCAGTTCCAGAGATAAGCTATATGAGAAATTCAGTTTGTATGGAAGGAAGGAGCCACGCTCCTTTCCCAATGCATTTGCAATATATGCACCAGTGCTAAGTTCAGTTCCCCAGCGTAATTGGTTTTAGAGATATATTGGTTTTTTACGTTTCAGTCTGTATAAGAATTTTAGGAATATCTCGAGCTACATACAGAGTAAATTTTTGGTCAGAATATTTATTTTCAAGGTGTTGCCAAATATGAACCAAGTCGATGCAGCCATTTAGTAGTTTAGTGAAATACATTGTAAAGAGAACTGTATGAAATTGTAAAACGTGAGACGATTTCTTAATTTTTGGCGGCAACAACGAAAAGTTTTAATTTTTTTTAGCGAAAAACCCTCCACACAGAAATAAAAAAAAAATAAGTTTGTGGTTATATCGAGGCGAAATTTTGAGAAAGTTAATACGTTCAAATACCCAGGAATAATGATCGACGATAAACTAAAACAAAAAAAAAATGGATTCTATATTTTCAATTAGAGCTCTAGCAATATATACATCGGTGAAAATGCATTTAATTCCATACATTAACTTTTGCGTGGTACTCTCACAAACATACAGACAAACATACCAAAATTTTATATTTGGCTTCTGTTGATCTAATAAACCCCCTATAAATTTTTCTTTAACATCTATTATGGACAAACATCGGCCTGTTGCAATTTTATTATTCTCAAATACTCTCGTTTGATTCCCGTATGGCAACACTTAGTTTATATTACAAATTTAACTGAATTAAAGTTTTCAAACCCGCTTCGAGAATATTTTCAAAAGTAAGCTTCCTAATCCTCTTTAGTTTAATATTCGTATTGCAATATTTCATTTCTTATACAAACTTTAATGAATACAATTTTTCAATCAGTTGGCAAATCCCCTAAAAATATTTTAGCATTAAAATTTCCTAGCCTCTTTAGTTTGATGCCAATGTTGCAATATTTAATTTATGCTATCAATTAAATTAAATTAAAGTTTTCAAATAGGTGGCAACCTTCCACAAAAATATTTTCAGCTGTAAGCCTTTGTAAATTTCTTTCTTTTGACAGCCATATTGCAGTATTCACTTTACCGTATCAATTGACCTGAACTGAAATTTTAAACACAGGTGGCAACTCTCTAATTTTTTCTTCCTATATTTTAAGTTAGAGCTCTAGCAATACATCGGTGAAAACTGCATTCAAATCTATGCATTGGTTTTCGAGTGATGCGCGAACGAACATACAGACAGACAGACAAAAATTCTAAAAATGGTTGATTTGGCTTCTGGTGCTCTAATAAAGACCCTCCGCATTAATTTTTCTTTAATATCTCTAATGTACAGACATCGACCTGTTACAATGTTATTATATGTATAGATAACCCGAAGATTTTCGCTGAGCTTTATACGCGGTGCATGAATGAAGGAGTATTTCCGAAAGTATGGAAGAAGCAGCGCCTGGTCCTACTTCAGAAGCCGAATAAACCGGCGGGTGAGCCGAATGCGTACCGGCCACTTTGCATGATCGACACGATGGCCAAAATACTGGAGAGGCTGATTTGCACACGTTAAATTAAATGTAGAGGTGAGATGCCTGGCTTGTCTGAAAATCAATTTGGCTTTAGGAAACATCGTTCCACCATAGATGCAATTGGAAAATTGACGGGCACTGCGGGCAAGGCCATAGAGGGCGCCAGATGGATGTATGGCGATAAGAAATATGGTGCAGTTGTCACATTTGATGTACAAAATGCTCTCAACTCAGGCTACTGGCCACACATTATGAGAGCATTGGAGGCAAAGGAAACACCGGCCTATCTACTGCGCATAATAAATAGCTACCTGTCTGACAGACTGCTATTGTACGACACGGACGAAGGTCCCAAATACTACGTTGTGACGGGCGGAGTGCCACAAGGCTCCGTATTAGGCCCATTGTTATGGAATGTGCTGTACGATGGGGTATTATACCTCCCACTGCCAAAGGAAGCCCAGATAATTTGACGATATTGCCGTGACTATCGTTGCCAAAGAACTTTCCCAGATTCAGAGTATCTGCAATGAGACGGCATCGAAGATCAAGGAGTGGCTGACGATGACAAAGTTCCAGCTTGCGGGGCAGAAAACGGAGGCGGTGCTTATTACGAGCAGAAAACAGTTAGAAACAATCACCCTGAACATTGATGGCTACAATGTCGAAACGCAATCGTGGCTGAGGTACCTTGGTGTGATGATTGATGCGAGACTCAACTTCAAGACGCATATAGAAAAAGCCTGTGGTAAGGCGGCTGCAGTGACAGCGGCGTTAGCGAGAATCATGGCAAACATTGGCGGCCCTAGTCAGAGTGGGAGAGCGCTCCTGGCTAAAGTAAGCCAGTCAGTACTGATGTACGCGGCGCCTATATGGGGAACAGCCCTGCATCAAAAAACATATGCCAATAAGGTGAAATCAGTTTTTAGGCTCAGCGCTATTAGAGTTGCCTGTGCTTTCAGAACAGTGTCGCATGAATCGGTTGGTATTATATCTGGCATTATGCCGCCGGACATAATGGCCTCGGAGCTAGGCAGAGTCTACAGTAGAACAAAAAGCAGGAATAGGCCACTAACGGCTGACGAACGCAAAGAGGAGAGACAAATGAGCCTCGACGAGTGGCAAACACAATGGGACGCGGCAAGAAAAGGAAGATGGACGTATAGGCTCATCAAGAACGTGCAAGCCTGGGTCGAGAGAAGACACGGAGAGACAGACTTTTATCTGACGCAGTTCCTGACAGGACATGGCTGTTTCAGGAAGTACCTCCTCAGATTTGGTAACGACGATGCGACAGAATGCTCCTTCTGCAACAGTGTCGGTGAAAACGTAGAGCATATCTTTTTCTTCTGTTTGAGATATGCAGCTGAGAGAACAACCATAGAGAGACCAATAGAAGAAAGGATGACACCCGATAACATTGTGAGCCACATGCTGAAATCGAAACAGGTGTGGGCTAAGATGAAGGAATGGTCTGCAGTAGCGCTCCAGGAGTTAAGAAAGAAAGAGTGGCAGCGGAGATGTGCAGATGCGCAAGTGATGAATAACTCTGGCCTTTCTTAGCCCTGCGAAGTAATGCTTAACGGCGGTCCCGCAGGGCCAAATACAAGCTACAGAAGTCGGAGTTAAGGGTATAGTACGTAGGCGTACTGTTTCGCAAGTCCAGTATAGTAAGATAATACTGTCTGTGCGCGGTCCCGAATGAGGTGTACCTTTAGCGAGCAGTATGAATCGTGCATGCCGTCCATGGTTGGCGGTATCTATGTAAGATTCCCCCTTCGAAACAAAAACAAAAAAGAAAAAAACATATATGCACATATGTATGTAGTACAAACGAAAACAAATCTAATAAGCTTCTCGTTGATATAAATGCGAACTGTGCNACTTAACAAGTGCGCAGTCTGGTCAGTCTTGCTAGGTGAGTAGCTGACTTGACTGGTCGGTGAGCGGGTGGTGTGCTTGCGTACTAATGTCTTGCCGGCCAGCCAAGCCAAGCTCGGGGTAACCAATCGCGACTCAACCCGCCGGCTGACCGGGGATTGCACGCCTTTTAGGCATCCTTATTTGTCACCGGCTGGTTGAGCCTCCAACGCCACCGATCCGTTCCAGCCCCTACTCGTGTAGAGTTCGATAATGGGAGCGGCGGTGCCTGAGTCTTGCTAGGTCGCTTCGCTCCACCGGTTGCCTAGCGCCAGTACGAACAACCCGTTGCTGTCAGAATTCACCCGCTGCCGAATATCACCCGTCGGGGCGCCCTCGTTGCTCAACAGTTGTTGAGAATCACCCGCCGCGCTGCTAGCGCTCTCACCGTTGCTCCGCTGTTGCCAAGAGTCACCCGCCGTGCGCTCTCACCGTTGCTCAACCGTTTCCAAGAGTCACCCGCCGCACTGCTAGCGCCCTCACCATTGCTCCGCCGCTCCTGAGAGCCTTCCGCCGTGCTGCTAGCGCTCTCGCCGTCATCCGCTCCGACCCGACCGCACGACCACAATGAACGTCATCTCTCTCTCTCTCGCTCTCCCTCTCTTTGGACATAAGGTTGCTAGCACTCTAGTCGCAGCGCCGTGTGTGTGTGTGTTCGAAGTAAATACACGAAGATAGTGTGTTTTATTTGGTGGGGGTTAGTGGGACCTTCGCTGGACTCTGGATCGGCTGAGTTCACCTCAGCCTTTGACAAAACCCACCTCATAAACTATAACGTCGATTAAAGTACAAAACCGCGTATCGTCATGCTGCAAAACCGCGTAACTGACATTGGCTGCCAAAAATTGGATTTGCTCACACAAACTCTTGGCTCAATCCTTATCCAGTCGTCCTGAAATATACTAGCCAGAAATGCGATTGCTTTATAAAAAAGAGAACCATTTTGAAATATGAAATACGCTCTAGAAAATAATTTCTACAACTTCACATACGCGGTTTTTCATTTTGCTGATACGCGGTTTTGCATTTTGTTGATACGCGGTTTTGCACTTTAAACGACGATAAGCTTTTTGTACTTGACCCAAAAAACTTGCTATGTAGGGAAATTGAGACAGCAAAATGACATTTAAATGCTAGTTTCTGCTGGAAAAATTTTTGCCAACAGCAATTTGCCAACAAGAAACCAGCTGATCAAAAACAGCTGGTTGGAATTTACCCAAATCCCTTAATTGAATTTGATGGTTTGGAAATTAAAATAGTAAAATGCGACTAATTAAACATGTAAGAAGTAAGTATTTATTCATTTAATCCGTGAACTGTGTCAGGATAAGACTTCGGGGTCTGTAGAAAACAAACGTTTTTAATTTTATACTTTTGAATGTAAACAAAATTTCTATCAGCTGTTCGTCTAACTTGCAAGTGTCTGCAATTCGCGTACTATTTTGGACATTATTCCTGTGAGAGGACAGATGACATTTCTCCAGAATTTTGCTGTTGGGCATTTTTTACTGGAGATTTTAAACGAAGGTACCTATTGCTAACTAACATTTAACAGAGCGGTTACGAACGGCTTTAATTGACGTAAACCCAGATTTTAAAAATTTGGCCAAAAGGATATCGCGTATTACGTACATTAGAATAATAATAAAATTAATGTTTTTCATTTCTAATAATAATTTTATTTAAAAATAAAATTTTTCTTTTTGTGACTCTCTGTAGCATTTAGAATTTACAGGTGGATCTTTTCGGCCTCGGCCTTGCACACCCCTGATATATGTATATAAAATCATACACTTAATGCTAACAAATTAGCAAAAATGGATAGAACGGTAAACTAATAGTTAAATTTATAGTTCAATTCTTTATTACTTTGTCTTTACGTTTGTGTCTTCTAAGTGTACATCGAAAGTTTGTATTAGAGAACCAATCTGAGATTATTGATAAAACTATAGACCGGTTTGGTGAACAACCAAGACGTTTACTTCGTAAGTACAGTCTCAAACTACTGCTCAAAGTACACGTACGTATTTTCGCGGAAGCCTATCCAAAAGCAAAACATAAAAATACGACTACCAACTACCCTGTGAGAAGCACATTAACAATTAGTGAATAAAGAAATACAAACGATTGCATTAACAACTATGCCCAAGTGAATTCACAATTTGTTAAATAAAAAAAGATCTCTAACTATTCATTCAAAATGAAAAAACCACCGGACAATGGACAAAATATACCCAATTTGCCCTCACACAAATGGGACAAAACTAAACGATCAAACTTTACATCAAACGAGCCAATATACCTACTTATGTCTAGATCTAATAACAAAGAAGACTTAAACAATATATCACCATTCCTAATACAAAAAGCTATTGCCCTGCAAAAATCGCGACTACTCCATGAATGCATATAAAAAGTACTCCCGAAGGACCAAGGAGTACTCCAAAATTAACCACAATTCATATAAAAAATATGGTCCAATTAACATTGCGATGTCCTAGGGCAGGACCATATACTCCTTCTCGGCATTACATCAGAGTAGCACAAAACTACTTCAACATACTCCAATGACATTGTTGTTATATTTTTTCATTTGTTCACGCTTTTGTTCTTCACTTCACAGATGCTTTTTTTGAAATTAATAAAAACCAAACACAAAAATTAAAAATTGCATGTTGCCTCTGACGACATTCGAACCCGAACATGCTGGGAGCACAATATAACCAGTAAACAACCTTCGGTGAATTTGGCGACTGCCTTCCTCGGGGATGAATATGCTAGGGATGAAACTATTGGTACACACGCCTTCCAAGCACGCAGGGTTGCTTTTAATCACCAAAAAATAATTAACTCCAAATAGTTTCAAAAAGTATAGTGTAAAACGAAATTTATTGAATAATTCCACATAAAATGGTATACATAAATGACGCATTTTCTAAACGATTTAAATTAAACGCATTTGAGAATTGATAGAAAAGTACTACGGATTGTAAATTTTTGTTAACTATGAGGTGAATGAAAATTTTCAACCCGGCCTGATGGTTTGATTTTATTACTAAGGCGTCTAATAAATTCATGGCTTTTAGTTCTAGAAGAATAAATGTCAGTAAAGACAAGTCTTTTTTGTATAATTTCTGATTTTAATTGCTCAACTTCTTTTGAACCAGAGCAACTGTCAAAAATTTCCAGCTGCAAAAAGGTAACGAATTGGCACAGCAGAAATGTAAATTTTTCTCGCCATAATAAAAAGTTTTTTCAACATGGAAATTTTCTACTAATTGACATAAAATTACTATCCCAACGCTCGGAGCGCTGCCACTGAGGGCCTTTGCCAACTGATTAAAAAGAGAAAATTTGGAAAGACCAAACAAAAATTTTGAGATTTCTCGTTGTGAATACGAATGCCATAGTTTTTACCTAGCTCGTGGGACTACGCAAAATTTTGACAGCTTGTAAATATGTATACACATAAAGTTGTTGGCGGTAATAAGGAGTCAAAATTAAAATGGAGAAAAGAACAAAAAGCGTAGGTTAGTTGTCAGTTATAAAATAAATCCAATTTATTTGCGAATATTTGTTTATTCTTTTTATTGAAAGGCAACCACTCGGAAAAGCTTGTGTTAATTATATTGATAACAGAACCTGGCAGCTCGCACGTTGTCTAAATTCTCAAGTAACATAAAGTCCACAAAAGAATAAGTACGCCATGTATAAATTTTAACAATACACAAAAATAGAGCTTTCGCACGAGTGTTTGTTTGGTTTTTCAACACCATTTATAATTTTCTTTTAATAAAATCACGATTTGACAAATACTTAAATTTATTTATCTAATAATAATGCAGCACACAACCCTGAAATCTAAGAAAAAGTCTGAGGAAGGCCATTAAATAGCAGCACACAACCCCGTGCCTTCCTCAGGAGTGAATATAACTACAACAACAACGACTACTACAACAACAACGACTACTACAACAACAACCCAAAAAGGTTGGTTACTGTCTATACTGTGGCTGGGAGCTAAAAACTAACAGCGAGCATCTCTACACGTTTGGCTACAGCCAGACATGCAAATGTGCTTTAAAATGCTCAACTTCAATCACATTTCGTTAAAACACGAGCAGTGATCGGGTAACAAACAATAAGCTGGTGCAGAGACACGAGTTGGTCCGCTACAGCATGACAGAGGAACACTTTTGTAAGTACTCCAATATACCACAAATATAATGGTCCAACGATTTTTGCAGGGTGACTCAACTTGCGGCGAAGTTGAATATTTAAAAAAAAATTAGAAGTGAACAAATTTTAATAAAAACAAGCTAACAAACTCGCGACTCTAACAGCGCTTTCGAAAAGAATCACAATCGAAATTACCCCACACAAAGATCTAAACCAATCAAAAGGTGTAATATTTATATTGCAACGAACTACGATCAATATCCGACAATGAAATTTTTGAAGAACTCAAACCCCAAAACGTGTGAGAAATACAAAAAAATTCTCAAAAAAAATTAATAATGACCTTTTTGAAACTGGCTTGATTATCTTAATACTTGCTACCAGGGACGTGAACCGGATGAAAAATTTTATCGGTTCGGTTCAGCGGTTCGAACCGTTTTTGCACTTTTGGATTGGTTCGTCAAAGCGGTTTTTTTGGTCTTTGAACCGAGGTTTCGGTTCGGTTCAACGGTTCGAAAAACAAACAAGTAATAAAGTCTAAGTTCGGGAGGAGCCGAACATTAAATACCCGGCGCAAGTATTAAATATAATATTTTCACCTTTCCAAAAGCCACCGCAACATGGTATACTGGGGTGTAACAATTTAGAGTAATTTAGCGTCCTTAAATTTCGAAATATTGAAGTTTCAAGCATTTCTGAAATTTACCGTTATATGAAAAGCGGCTTCAATTTTAGTCTGATTTCAATAATTTTCAACGTTTTGCTTTTACTTGGCAAGCAAAATAGCCATACCGAGTTTGGTATAAATTGGTAGACCGGTTACCGAGATACATATATGTGATCATAAGTGGGCGGTGCCACGCCCGTTTTCCAAAATTTTATCATAAACGTATTTCTTGGTAAAGGATTGTCGCAAGCATCACTTTTGAATAAATTAGCTTTAATATTTATTGATTTATCGAAGATTTGGCATTTCTCCAAATTAATGTTACAAACAACCGTTATGTGACCAAAGTTATAATACCCTTGTGCTCAAGTGCGCTCGGGTATAAAAAAATAATGCGCAAATTAAGTGCCAAGTGCAACAACGCGCAAGGTTAAGGGTCAAGTGTCTGTCAAATGAGATGGGTTGCCTTTACATTTGATATTTTCACATGGTAAACAAACATGGTAGGTATTACCATGTGTTGTGCTTACTCTATAGCGCGGCAAACGTGAAGATACTGAAATAAAACA